CCTTTTCACTCACATAAACCATCTATTTATTTAGTTCAATTTCTCATGACTTCCATAATACTCTTTAATAAAACTGTGTAGCTCTTCACTTTAATACATAAACCATAGTTTCCTTTAATTTATCAATCTTCTCTATATAACTTATGTATCCTTATTTATGCCCTCGAATTCATACTATTCTCTTAGAGTCTCCTAACATTTCTCGTATCATCACTTATACCATATCATATGACTTATACTTATTATCTTATTCTCTCATGTTCATTTCATTTCTTATGACTCTATCATATAACTTATTCCATGTTCTTCCATTATTACATAATAAAGTCTTACATAAATTATATAGCATATACAAAGCATATCATTATCTTTAGTCATGCATACATACAATCAATGTAATACATATAATTACATATAGTTATAACAACACATAATCATGTCCATGACTTCATGCATATTACTCTAGGAAATAGACTCATCGCAAGTCTTATTTCCATTAAACACTACATATCACTAGTATGCACTCACCTTGGCCTCACTAGTCAATTCCAATCTCTTATCTTTCCCTTGATCGATCTTACTTGCCAAATGTTCCAGAATTGCTTTACGCGCAGAATCTACATAAATGTACATTTTGAGGCAATCATTAGATACCTACACCTTGTAATTGGATACTAGCAACTTAAACGAACTTATTAAACCAATATTCACATTTTCCTTTAGGGGGAATCGGTTCCCTACTATGGGGGTATCGATTCCCTCATGACATTCTGGAAATTTTTGTTCGTTTGAAGGGGTATCGGTTCCCCTTGAATGGGTACCGATTCCCCTTGCCCAGAAATCATATTTTTAGCTCGAAAATCACTTCATTTCAGCTTAAACCTTCATATTTTACTTCCTTTAATATTCCTAACTTCCATACACATATTTAAACTCATTTCTATTCCATAATCACTTCTTTAAACCCAAAATTCCATCATTTACATGGCATTCAAGAATCACACTAAATTTTCAATGTGTTATAATTCCAATTCTAACACTTCATACTTCTTAATTAGATTGATGACAAGTCAAATTCATCCATAAAACTTCAACAACCATACCATATCAAAATTTCATCTTAAAACTCATATTACAAATTCCTTCTTAATTCCTTTATTTTATTGTTTAAATCCCATATAAGCTTTCCTTAAGCTTATTTATCATCTAATAATCAAAACCCAACCTTAAAATCAATAATTCCATTATAAACAAAGAAACTTACCTTTGGCTCTTGGCTTCCACGTGAAGAAGAAGAAGAAAGGAGAAGAGAACTCTGGAGAATTCTCTCCCTTTCCACGTGCTTTTATCCTTATCAATCCCATTTTTAATTCATTTCTTGGTCAATTGACCCTTTTGCCCTTTATTTCCTTTAATAATTACTAAATAACCTTCATCATATATATCCAATAATCATTGAACTATTTCATTCTTATACTTTAGTCACCAAATTCTGAAACTTTACAATTTGGTCACTAACCCGGTATTGCGGATGTTACACTCAAACTCCAAATATAACATATTAAAAGCATCTTGTAACTCATCAAACGTATATGAATTAAATTCATTTGAGTTAGAAGATACCTCGGGCTCTTCATAAGCCATTAGAGACAACACCTTTGTTGGTTCTTCTTTCTTGTTTCCATGGATTTCCTCGAGCTTATTCCAAAGCTCCTTTGCACTTGAACATGAAGAAACCCCTTCATAGATTTTAGGACCAAATGCACAAAACAACATGTGCATGGCCTTGGCATTAAGTTGAGCTTTCTTCCGTTCTTTGTCACTCCGCTTCTTCTCCTTCTTCTTTAGAGAATAGTAGCCATTCTCGATTATCTCCCATACATCAAGATCATTGGATTGGATGAATACCTTCATTAATTTCTTCCAATGATGATAGTTGACTCCATTGAAGTATGGAGGTTTATCGGTTGATAGAGAGTCTTCCATGTGGAACGAGCCGGAGGTGGAAGCCATCTTCTCGGTTGTGTATGGAATTGGTAGAGCTACTTCTAGGATCATCTCAAGGTGGTTAAACCTTCTTAATGAGTTAGGCTCTGATACCAATTGTTAGGATTTTTGGAAGCTCGAATCGATAACCGGAACGGTTTACAAAGAGGGGTCAGAACGGTTTTTTGTTTAGGGAGTAAGGAGATTGAAAGATAGAGAATTGCACAGCGATTTATAGTAGTTCGACTTTCTCAACCAAAGTCTACGTCCACTACCTTAGCTCCCCACCAAGGATTTTCCAACAAATTCACTAATTTGTTCTTTCTTTTGAGGATAAAGAGTAACCTTACAAACTCCCTAGTTTCTCCGGGCTAAACTATAACATTTCCTTAGATTTTATACGGGATTAGCTAGAACATTTCCCCTTTACAAAAGGATAAGAAATGTAAACAAGAAAACCTCTCTAAGGTAGGTGTTTAAAAGAATTAAGCTCACAAGAACAAAATATTTACAAGAGAAAGATGAAATAAGAATGAAAAACTCTTCTCTTGTGTTTGATTGCTTGGATGGTTGTTCTCTTGCTTTTTCAAGTGTCCTTAGCTTGTATTTATAGCTTGAAATGTGTTTGAAGTCATATATAGTCGTTGGGGATGTTTTGGAACCGTTTGGGGATGAGAAACAATTAATAAAACAGCTTGGAGCGTGGGGGAATTAGTACCCTCTCATGGGGAATCGGTTCCCTAAGTGCAATCTGTTTTTGACCATTTGACAGGGGGGAATCGGTACCCCCTGGGGGGGAATCTATACCCCCTGAGCAATCTGATTTTTCTTGAAATCCTTTAAAAAGAAAATATTTTTGGATCGATTAAGGCTCGAAATACTTTGTAAAATTGTTTTAAAATAGTTTAAGTATAAAACACAATTTTACACTTTAGTAAGGATTAAAATGAACTTTGAAAGACTTGGAGTAATATTTTGATATTCGAATAATTACATCGAATATACTTAGAAAATCTTTTTGTAAAATCTTAAAATTCATTTAAAATAATTTGTTATAACGAAACATCAAAATGTTTTTAACAAAAGTAGTAGTTTATTCTTGAAACTTAAATTAGCAACACTGTGAAGTTAGTATTTGTCTTTTTGTTGAAGTAATGCAATTCATTCAAGTTTCAATTTGCAGAATAAGTGTAGTTTCTGAAACTTAAATTAGCAATGCGAAAATAAAAATCGCAACGCGAAACTAAAATCGCGTTGTGATTTTGGTGTTGCGATTTTCATTTTTGTATTGCGAATTTAAGTTTCAAAAACTATTCTTCTGCATATTGAAACTTGAATGAATTGCATTTCTTCAACAAAAAGACAAAACAAAGACAAATATTAACTTCACAGGGTTAAAGATTAAACAGTTTAGCAGTATTGGCAGCAACCGAATGAATTTACTAAGCAATCTCAGTGAAATGGTTAATCTTTATATATATTGAAATTACCAGTAAATTTATCATCAATATAAGAAAAATCTAATAATAATACAAAAATTTCAAAATAAAAATAAGAGATTAAAAAACTAACCCTCGGTGGTTGATTTTCCATTTCTGACCGTGAATGGTTGTGAGGGTTGCTCTGAGAGATGGAGATAGACGGATTTCGCCGGAGATAGAGACGGATTTCATCGGAGATGGGGACGGATGTCGCCGTAGAGAGTGAGAGATGGAGATGAGATTGAGTTGTGATTTAGGGTTTTAGGTTATGATTTGCGATAATACTGTTTACATTTGTGTTGCGAAATTAATATTGTGTTTTGCGTTGCGAATTTGACTTTCGCGTTGCGAATTTGACTTTTGTGTTGCAAATTTGACTATCGCGTTGCGAATTTGACTTCTGTGTTGCGATTTACATATTCGCGTTGCGATTTACAGATTCGAGTTGCGAATTTGGAAAATCGCAACACAGAAGTCAAATTCGCGTTGCGAAATTGGATTTCGCGTTGCGAATTTGTTGGTCATTTTGGCAAATCCAAAAAAAATTGGTTAAAATTATATACTATAAGGCATTTTCGGTCACTGAGGTTATTTTCTCATTACAAAATGATTCTTAAATTTATTAAAATTTTACAATTATTATAACTTTGACTATTTTCTATTAGTTCGATAACTTGAATGATCATTTTATAACTTTTGGAAGTTCAATTATCAAAACCATCATTTGAGCATTTAATGACCTCAACTGTACTTTACCCTTACATTAAATGACAATTTCATTCAACCAAGAGAAGAAGGAAAAAAAATCAATGAACATAGCTTGCTACCAATGACAAGTTTAGCTTTTTCATATCAAACTTCACAGTTCCACATATAACAGAGGCATGAATCATATGCAAGCAGGGATGAATCAAGGGGAGCCGGGTGGAGCAGTCCTCCTATGAAAATTTAAAATTATCATATGTTTTAGATTTTTCTATATATTTTCTATTGAAAATATGTTTTTCCCCCTAGAATTTTATAGATTCGTCTCTTAAAATTTTAGAAGTTCGCCCCCTAACATAAAATTATACGTTTGGCCTGTATGCAAGCATAGTTTGCAATAATGGAATTCAATGCACCAGCTAAGCTCCAAGGCTCACAATAATAGACCTTGCCTACCATAACATGCTAAGCAAGCCATTTTGATAGCATCCACCAGGAAAAGCTTGTCCATTCAAGAATATAATGCAAGAAGATCGACATCGTATGCAGTCCATTCGAAACGATTAACATCCATTTATGGGAAACCGAAAATGTCATTATCTTTAACTGGAATGCTCAAATTATTTCAAGATTGGCCACACAAGTGCACAAACTAAGACAATTGTTCAACAAAGAAATCTTATGCTCTGCAACATGTTGTGCAGTCTACCTCACCTAACCTTCTTTTTCTGGCTTTGGCTCTGCACCGCAAGCTTGTCCATTCAAGAATATAATGCAAGAAGATCGACATCGTATGCAGTCCATTCGAAACGATTAACATCCATTTATGGGAAACCGAAAATGTCATTATCTTTAACTGGAATGCTCAAATTATTTCAAGATTGGCCACACAAGTGCACAAACTAAGACAATTGTTCAAGAAAGAAATCTTATGCTCTGCAACATGTTGTGCAGTCTACCTCACCTAACCTTCTTTTTCTGCCTTTGGCTCTGCACTGCAAACGAAATTTTCCTCCAACACCGGATCGCAATGAGTGAGGGTATCAGAATCCAGAAGGAATTTGCCAAAATATAGTATGCATAGTAATAAAAGGGGCTTGCAGAAAAGTTATCGCCCTCCAAGATAGCTGTTATGAAATATACAAAAGTTCCATAGAGCTGCCCCAGGGAGATGGCAAACTGAAGTATGTAGCTGTATCCCTTTCCTTTGGCAATAGCATACCTGCAAAAAAAAACAACAACAATTTACAATGAGAATAATCAAAGCAGAAGGGAACAAGAGACGATGAGTCGATGCTAAATTCAAACTCGATAATCGAATATTGTATATTTATAAAGCCAGATCTTACACTGCTAGGAGGCAAGGTGGACCTTCCAGAACTGATGTTATTCCTTCAACAGCAACAATTGCTGAATCCCTTCCTGCATATCTTGAGTCACCTTTGCTGTATTCTTTCCCTGCCATTTAACCATTTGAATAAATTTCCCACTTAAGAACCTAGAAGGTAGGGCTATCAATTTTTACCATAAACAGAGAAAAGGAACTTACAAACTTCAGCTAGATAAAATCCAGTCTTTTCTTTGTAGAATTCGGGAGAGAATACGAAATAACCTTCAAGAATCACGTGTGTAAGTCCCGTGAAAGCCCACCAGCACATGAGCAACCTATCAAGTTTAGATAAGTTGCGAGACCTCCCTGGTAGAACAAGTCATCATCGAAATAGAACAAGTTTACAATCCCATAAAAATTAACATGAAGAAGACACTTTATCATCCATGTTTCATATCAGTATTACGATTTCTCCTACTTAACCAATGCTCAATTTGTACATAAACCTTTGAGCCCTGAATCAAGACCAAACCTTTCTGGAGTTGTTAAAGTCAAAGTAGTCTTTTGAGGAATGATACATTTTAGAATCTGCTCAAATAAGGACTTTTGACGGTGATACAATTGTTCACACAAGTCATCATTCAAATAAGTACAAAAAGGTTTGATCTTTAATCGATTTATTCGAAAGGTTTCGTCTTGATTCACTCAAAAGTTCAACCCCAAATTGAGGATTAGTTCAATCACTGAGTAGATCCAGATTTCAGCAAGGTCTAATGACTTCTTCAAAGTGCTTTTAAGTAGATGATAAGTAGTAGAAAAAAAGTCAACCCATTTTCAGACGGTGCAAATTCAAACCCCAAAACATTTGAAATACAAACTCAGCAGAATTTGTACTGCAAATGGTATTAGAAAGGAAGAAATGAGAAAGAAGGACAAACCAGAAAGCAACCATATAAGCGAAACGACGAGCAGAGAAGAGAGGACATAGACGCCGGCAATGGTGGACTGGGAGAGGGAGACGGGCACATAACCAGGCAGTTGTAGATCTCTGGGAACGTATGGATGCACCATTCTCACTCGCCTTTCGCTACTCAACAATTTTACTACTCAACTCCAGCTATTCAGACCGGCACGTCCACTTATAATTCATTTATTTTCGGCTCATATTGTTTGTCAAAGCTAGTTCTTCGTTACTTTCCAAAAGTGTTAAAACGCATAGTTTCTTTGGGGTAAATTGAACATTTAATACCTAACTATTATTTTTGTTTATTTTTGTACCCATCATTAAAAACTTAAAAAAAACTAGTGTATGTAATATTTTCTATTGGTAAATTACATCATTCATCACTTTTTTTACTCTTACTTTGATCACTAAAGTTTAAAAAATATCAATTTAATTACTCAACTTTCAAATTATTTCTATTTTAATCACTCTAATTTATTTTATTAATAATTTTTGTGACGTGACATTTTTATTATTATTTTATCAATATATAATTAAGATAAAAAAAAATTGAATTTGAAAGTTAGAGTGATTATATTAGGAGTAATTTGAAAGTTAAGTAATTTAAATAAAAAAAAAACTTTAGTGATCAAAATATGATTGAGAATATAGCTCAGTGATGAATGATATAATTTACCCATAAAAAATTCCAAATATATAATTGTCCCTTTAAGTTTTTAATGGTTAGGTACCAAAACGAAACAAAAATTAAACTTTAAGTATGATTTAAAAAAATGAAAGTTTAGGTACCAAAATGAGGTAAAAGTAATTTAGGTCCTGAACGTGTAATTTACCCTAGTTTTTTAAGCTAAATTTAGTTTGGGTAAACTACACATTTAGTACTCCAACTATCACTTTTGTTTTGTTTTGGCTACTCAACTATTATATTTTTCAATATGCCTAACGATACGTTTTGATTTCATTTTAGTCCTCCATTATTAAAAAAATAACAAAACTTTTTATGTGATATTTTTTTTAAAAATCAATGATTTTTCAAAATTTTCTTATTAAAAGGATGAACAATTTTAAAATTAATTTGATTTATTAATTAATTAAAAAAAATAAATAATTGTGTACGAACTAAAAAAATTAAATTAATAAATCATCATCATTAAAATTAAGAAGTTAAAAAAATAAAATGATAACTAAACAATCTTTGCAAAAATCTTAATATAATAAAATTGTTAGGATTTAAATAGAACTATAATTAAAGAATATAAAAATATTTAATAGTAAAAAGTAATTTTAAGATAACTAATTAATTTAATTATATATTAAAATAAATTTAGATATATTTAATATTTTAGATATTTTAATTAGAAGGTTTAGGCTTGGAGACTTTACTGAAACTACAAGTTAAGGCCCAGACCACATGACCCAAATACAGAGGGCATGCTGTCCAACATACTAAAGCGTGTTGCATAGGTATTTTAATACCCTAGCAGATGATTACTTAGCCTCCAAGAATTGAGACCCTAATTACTACTAATTGGTTCTATTTTTTTATTTCTTCATAAATATATATGATTAAATATTAAAATAATAGAAAAATTATTGGTTCACAAGGTGCAAAGACTCTCTATTTATGTTCAGGGAATGACATATGATTTTATGTTAGAATGACAAATTCATAAAATTTTAAGAGATAATGAACTTACCTTCCCATTCTTACTTAGTCTATCCCTATTTATGTCCACACTGTAATGGGTGTAGAGGGACGACAAGAATATTGAATTAAGCCGAGCTTCATATACGAGGTATAGTTTCTTAAAAATTGAAAGTGTCAATTTGAATTAAAAATTGAAATTAAAATTTAAGTTTATGTATCTATTTGGATCAAAAAATATTTAAATACTAAACTTTAATTCTAAAATCAAATTTAAATACATAATTAAATAAAAAAACTTAAATATCAAATTAAATCTTGAAATTAAATTTAAAAATCAAAAAATATATTTATCCAAAAATAATAATAGTTCTAATGATAAATTCGGATTATTAAACTCAGAAAATCTTGTTTAAAAGGACTTAGTAAAAATAACTAAATTTGAAATAATCTTAAGTGATATTTTCCCTTCAAATCATCGTTGCAATATTCATTAATTTCATTCTACATATATAAGTGCTCCTTAATTTTAGAATATAAAATTTAATAATTTTATATGTTTAAGATAATTACTTGTAGGATAATCTGCACTTATAGTTATTGAAGTTTTAGTGTGCTTTCAATTTAGTCCATATATATATATATATAATAACATATCATTGTTTTATTGATAATAAAATATTAAAAATTTGAAAGAATGATCTCAAGTGTGGGTGGGATTAGAACCTAAGATCCCTTGTAAAGGGGTCTAAACCTTCTTTTTAATAGTCTCGAGCGATTATAAAGTAGTATATATTTATAATTTCTCTTCATCATTGACAATAAACACACATCATGCAGACGCAACTGTTCGAACCCATGATCTCAAGAAATAATAACGCTCTCTTTAACTACTCAGGCCATGAATGAGTTTAAGAGGTGTAAATCTTAACTACTAATTTAAGTTCTTAACTTGATATATATTTTTCATAAAATAATATTTGAAGAATGACTTTAAGTGGGATGAGATTTGAACTTGAGGTATCTGTAAAAGAGTTTAAAACTTAACCATTGAGTCGAGTTAAGAAATTAGTATATTTTTTCGAAAATAATTTTTAGGTTATGTTTTAGTTGAAAATAATTATATTTATAAAAATATATTAATTATAACATAAATTATAAGAATAAATTTATAACATTATTTTTTTTACACATCACTGCCAAATTTTATTCATATTATGGACAAAGTCCACAATCCAAAACAAGCAAACGCATTAGAGTCGTGAAAATCATATTTTATGACTATATTATAATCGATATATTTTATATATTATAAAAATATATTTATAATATCAAATTAAAATATGCTCTTGAAATATTTTTATAAAAACAATATTTTTATAATTATATCTTTCCCAACCAAATAAGCATTTTTGGAGAGTTCATCTTCCCGCAGTCAAAACTAAACATCACTAGCGGATAACAATCAGATCTTACCCGGGACATTTAATAAATGATTTTCAAATTATATATATATATATATCCTATTCATGATTACTTGTTTATATGATAATCAATCAGAATGAACCAATCCATCTCAAATATAAACCGAGTTGATAACCCCAATTTCAATGCAAGAGTCATCGACACACATTGTTTAATTCTTAAGGCATAATGTTAAAATTAATCATCAATTAATATTAAAATGATTCTTTTGCTTCTTATTATATTTTTTGAATCATTTTGGACTCTAACGTTTTATTTTAGGAAAAAAACTCCTAATATTTGACATAATAATCAATTTTTCTCTTATTTTTTTTTTGTGACATTGTAGCCCTCAATATTTCATTTTAAGTTAAAAAAGCTCTTATTTTGAAGCGTTAATTGTGTGTTAACTAATAATTTTCATTTATAGAGAGAGTTTTTTGTTCTAAAGTGAAATATTGAGGCTTAAAGTACTCTAAAAGAAGAATAATGATTAAAATAATTATTTTAATAAACGTTGAGAGGTTATTTTCGGCATTTTATGGCAATTCTGAAATGCTTATGTGGATGTTTTCTCACATGATGGTCATTATATATCAAATGTACTACATCAACCCTAATACAATCAACCCTTAAGTGGAGCCACGACATTTTTATTGTAAAAGCTTAGGCAATTGCAATGGAACAAGGTTAGTCCATGGATTTAAAGATCGACAAGATGCGGCGTCTCCTTCTAAAAACTTTAAATTTTTATATATTTTAAATTTATTTTTTTATTTTTTTGTTGAAAATTTATTTTTATTTTCTAAAATTTTATAAATTTATTTTTTCTTTAAATTTATAAATTTATCCCTTCTAATATAAACTCGTAAGTATATCCTTTATAGATTCATCTTAATTTAAAATTAGCAGCTGCCGATGCAAGATAGAATATCATGTTAATTTATCATTAATTGTTAAATATAAAAATAAAAGATATAGTGGAGGCCACAAGTTAGGATGATGGTGTCCATTCACGTTAAATAAAGGATATTCCAGTTTCCAGGAAAGTAGAATTTATTTTCTTTTCTTTTCTTTTTTACATAAATTTATGAACCACATTTCTAGCAACTTTCATTGGTTCTTAGTTTCCGTTTTCTTAATATGTACTTTTATTTAGGTGCATGACAAATGTCGTTTTTGATCTCAAAATAAATTTATTCTTCTCGGTTAATAAATAAGGAAATTCGTAGTAAAGAGAAGTAAGGGTCGACTCTACAAGGACTTAGAAAATTACAAATTAATGTTTGAATGATTTTAACCAGACGAAAAATAATAAAATGGGGGATTTGGTAAAATAAAATTAAAATGGTAAAAATAAATCAAATCAATTTAAATAAAAAAATAAGAGAATAAAGTTTGTGAATAAATATAGTAAAAATATCCTCAAGCTTTGCTTTGACTCAATTTCTTTTAGATCATCAAATAAAATTTTCTATTTGGGATTCACGTCGGTTACTTTGTCTACAAGGGTTATCCCCGTGACTCTATCTTGTATACATAATACCCAATGTAAGATTTGATTCCGGCTTCGGGAATTGATTCTATCAACATCAATTGTCGTAGATCAATTACCGTTTAAGTCTGTGGTGACCGACTCAAATTGTTGCTTCAATAAACGTCAATTCCAATCTCAATTCCCTCTTGGCGAAGCCATCTCGCCAAGTGTGTTCCCAGGAAGTCGAATTTTCTTTCTATAAGTCGAATCTTCCTCCCACACATTTAATCGCAACAACCTCTTGACCAAAGTCTATCTTTAATTTTGAAAACTGTTTTGATTTTGAAAAATAAGCGCAGAGATTGAAAGAGATATTCCGAAGATATTAAGGGTCTGTTTCAATTCTCCCGTTGGAATTGAGTTATCGCGTCAGCTCTCGGCTTATGAAAAATTTAACTAAGCATGACAAAATTAATACTTAGCATATTAAAAATAAAACTTGAAAATAAAGAAAAATAAAAAAAGTAAAAAGAGAA